CGAGTTTTGAATGCTGATCAATCACACCGTGCTCATTCAAGTCAGCTTCTGCATAGCAGAACCTGTCCGGCCAGACTGGTATGAGATGAAATGTGGAAGGCGAGAGAGTCCTAATTTTAAATAGCTTAGATGTCTATATAACTCCGCCTGGAGTCCCTCCGGGGGCTACTGCCGGTCCCAAGCCCGGATAAAGGAGGAGGGTTGGGCATAGGGTTAGCGTCCCCATCCCGTAGAAAACTAACTCGCTAAAAAAGAGCTAACCAGAGAAAATTATTCAAACCTATTAAACTCCGCCCTGGGATCCAGAAGGTCTTCATTTAGAAGAACTACGACGCCTCATGATGAAAGCCGAATTCCTTCGGAAGTTACGAGGCTGATGCCCCTTCTGACAACCAGAGCAACCATTTATTTAGGTACATGGAATGCTCGTACAATGTGGGACATCGGGAGAGCCTTCCAAATTGCCGCAGAAATGAGAGGATACAACCTAGAGGTGCTTGGGATCAGTGAAACACATTGAACCCAAGTTGGACAACAACGACTAACTACAGGAGAGCACCTGTTATACTCCGGCCATGAAGGAGAAAATGCTCCACATACACAAGGTGTGGCATTTATGCTGTACAAACAAGCACAAAATGCACTTATATGATGAGAATCTCATGGACCAAGGATCATCAAAGCCTCTCTCAAAACCAAGAAAGAGGGTATTTCAATGAACATCATCCAATGCTATGCGCCTACCAACGACTACAATGAAGACGCTAAAGATCAATTCTACAATAGGCTGCAGTCAATCGTCGAGAAGTGCCCAACAAAGGACCTGACCATTCTGATGGGAGATTTCAATGCCAATGTTGGAACAGATAACACTGGATATGAAGACTTCATAGGACGACACGGACTGGGAGAAAGAAACTAAAATGGTGAGAGATTTGAAAACCTATGTGCTTTCAATAAACTGGTCATAGGCGGCACCATATTCCCACATAAACGCATACACAAACCATATGGACTTCACCGAATCACTCTACAAAAAAACCAAATCGACCATATTTGCATCAACAAAACGTTCAGGAGGACTATAGAGGACGTGAGAACCAAGAGAGGAGCTGATATAGCATCAGACCATCACTTACTGGTCGACAAGATGAAATTGAAGCTCGAGAAGCACTGGAAAATGGGGCGGACAATATCATAAAAGTTCAATACGGCCTTTCTTCAGGATACTAACAAACTCAACAAATTCAAGATAGGCCTCAGCAACAAGTTCCAGGCCTTTTATGATCTGCTCAATGGAGAAGGAACTACTGTGGAGAGCAACGGGAAGATAATCAAAGAGGCAATCACTTCAACATATCATGAGAACCTGGGTCACAAGAAGCACCATCACAAGGAATGGATCACTGTTGATACACTGGATAAGATTCAAGAAAGAAGGAACAAGAAGGCAGCGATCAATACCAGCCGAACAAAAGCAGAAAAAGCCAAGGCACAAGCTGAATACACAGAAGTAAACAAACAAGTGAAGAGGAGCATCAGAACCGACAAACGTAAATATGTGGAAGATTTAGCAACGACGGCGGAAAAGGCTGCAAGAGAAGGAAACATAAGACAATTGTATGACACGACAAAGAAACTCTCTGGAAATCGCCGCAAACCAGAACGACCAGTGAAAAGCAAAGAAGGCAAGGTAATCACCAACATTGAAGAGCAACAAAACAGGTGGGTAGAACACTTCAAAGAACTGTTGAATCGACCAGCTCCACTGAACCCACTCAACATCGAAGCAGCACCCACGGACCTCCCAATCAATGTTGGCCCACCAACAAATGAAGAAATCAGCATGGCCATCAGACAAATCAAGAGTGGCAAAGCAGCAGGACCGGACAACATCCCAGCAGAGGCACTAAAAGCAGAGGTGGCGGCAACAGCAAGCATATTCCACATTCTCTTCAGTAAGATTTGGGATGAGGAACAAGTACCAACAGACTGGAAAGAAGAACTTCTGATCAAAATACCGAAGAAAGGCGATCTCAGCAAGTGTGATAACTACAGGGGCATCAATCTTCTCTCAATACCGGGAAAAGTCTTCAATAGGGTGTTGTTAAACAGGATGAAGGACTGCGTAGACGCCCAACTTCGTGACCAACAGACAGGATTCCGTAAGGATAGATCGTGTACAGATCAAATCGCAACTCTACGGATCATTGTGGAACAATCAACTAAATGGAATTCATCACTCTACATCAACTTCATTGACTACGAAAAGGCATTTGATAGCGTGGACAGAACAACACTATGGAAGCTTCTTCGACACTACGGCGTGCCTCAGAAGACAATCAATATCATACAGAACTCATATGATGGAATACACTGCAAAATCGTGCATGGAGGACAGTTGACAAAGTCGTTCGAAGTAAAGACCGGTGTTAGGCTAGATTGCTTTTTCTCACCCTTTCGTTTTCTCCTGGTGATCGACTGGATCATAAAGACGTCAACAACTGAAGGGAAACGCGGGATACAATGGGTATCTAGGATGCAGTTGGACGCTCTAGATTTCGCAGATGATCTGGCGCTTCTATCTCAAACGTAACATCAAATGCAGGAGAAGACGAACAGTGTAGCAGCAGCCTCAGCAGCAGTAGGTCTCAATAGTCACAAAGGGAAAAGCAGGATTCTCCGATACAACACAGAATGCACCAATCCAATCACAATTGACGGAGAAGATTTGGAAGATGTAGAAACCTTCACGTATTTGGGCAGCATCATTGATAAACAGGGTGGATCTGATGCAGATGTGAAGGCGCGGATCGGCAAAGCAAGAGCAGCATATTCACAACTGAGGAACATCAGGAACTCAAAGCAACTGTCAACCAACACCAAGGTCAGGATTTTCAACACAAATGTCAAGACACTTCTACTGTATGGGGCAGAAACCTGGAGAACTACGAAAGCCATCATCCAGAAAATACAGGTGTTTATTAACAATTGTCTACGCAAAATACTTCAGATCCATTGGCCGGACACTATTAGCAACAACGTACTGTGGGAGAGAACAAACCAGATCCCAGAGGAGGAAGAAATCAGGAAGAAGCGCTGGAAGTGGATAGGACACATTGAGGAAAGCACCCAACTGCGTCACAAGACAAGCCCTCACATAGAATCCTCAAGGCCAAAGGAAAAGAGGAAGACCAAAGAACACATTACGCCGAGAAATGGAGATAGACATGAGAAAAATGAACAAGAATTGGATGGAACTAGAAAAGAAGTTGTAGGACAGAGTGGGTTGGAGAATGCTGGTCAGCGGCCTATGCTCCATTGGGAGTAACAGGCGTAAGTAAGTAAGTAGATGTCTATATCCGTCATGACGAAGATAAAATAAACTAATGGGTGAGGAGAAAATTCGAAAATATAGAAAAAATATCACAAATATAAAAAGTGTATGTAACATGCCATCAAGAAACAAACTCAAAGCTTACTGCTTGGTGTACCAGATAACATCGGTCCCACCACTAAAGATTGCACGAGTTTTCGGATTATGAAAACACCTCTACACGTAACACCTTTATAATCGAAGCATGTCAAACCAACCAAATCAGAAATGAAATGATTCAAAGATGTATTTGGAAGGCTATCGACATATGGAGAAGCGTTTTGTCTGAGCCGGCTAGAAGTTGAAAGGCATGCCTAGCAAGGCATACACACTGGTGATCTGGCGCGGATGCGTGACCGAGCGCCTTCAACTAGGTGTTCAGTAAATTAATAAGATCAACCTCACTGTCAAGGACTTATAGAACTATCTATTTTTGGCATTTGTTTGCTCCTACATGCTAAGCTGAATGGAATTATATGCTCAATTTCGTCCGCAAATACCTACCTGTCCACCTCAGAGGATCAAGCCAGTTTTTCGAAAAGCAGAGTATATCTAACTCCTTAAATGTCTGTTTGCTTTCTGTTATCAATAGCCTTATTGATATAACACCGATTCTTAAAGTATCGAACCCAAATTTAGTGGCTCGTCTTTGAACAGTCTTTATTGCAGGATCCTTGTTTTTTTTTGTAAAAGTTGCTTATGAAAGTGGTCCGTGGATTCGAGCTTACTTCTATATCTCTAATACAATGGCAGCAAGAATAAAGTTAAATTTACACCGCCAAATCTTTTCGGTTTATTCGGTTGAGGGTCAAATGTACTTATTCGTTGTCTCTCAAGGCAATTCGGTAGTCTGGGCAGATTGAAAAAAGGTGTGGATCGTGACCCGAACTGGGGTATTCGTATCCATAGAAGTTCTCGGAACATTTGGACAGTTCTAGTGGAGTCATTTGTCAAGAGTGTACTTAATCTGTTCTTCATTATTATCCTGACATCTGAATTCAGATGACAGTTTGGGTTTCAGCTCAGTGTTAAAGTAACTCAAGGCAATTGTCCTGTCACTAGTGATAAGTAAAACCGATATTTAAGCTCATCCATTTTTGTTAGTATGTTATTTGAAATGTTTCAATGTAGGCATATATATGTCTAGCCAAGTAGTTCATTGGCATCTTGATGTTCACAATTAAAATGCCTTTGGTTTGTGAAACAAAATACCTGCGGTTGCTTGAGGGTGTGTTTCAAAGTAGCCCAAATTTCTACTGGACAGCACTATACTTAACGTCTCTTTAATCTGGTTTCTCTGTTAAAATCTGTAGAATACGTAAAAATCAAAATGAAACCGAAATATCCTTAGTCTCGTAATTTCTTCCTAAAGTCACACGTGCAACGTGTATACTTTTGACACACCAAACAGAAAAATGCTATGGTGAAAAATCAATTGAGATATTGATGAGTCGTCTTAAACTCACTATCTGTAGTGTTATTTTTCTTCGTCTCTCCCCTACTTATTGTCTTTCATAATATTTATTACATATTTTTTGTATTGTCTAAATATTCTAGGCTGTCCTCTGAAGGCTGGGAATTTTCTGGGTCTCAAATCTTTTTCCAGGATATCGCTAAAATACGTATGTCTACTCAAGTGTGGGCTAGTCCAAAGGTCGAGCGTCGATGCAAAGCTGAGGCTCAGATCAGGTCACTAAACAACGCTTACAAATGGCTTTCAGTTGATGTGCTGGTGGGAATGTGTGTACTTATAGAATTGTAAGTTGACTGTGTTGGTATATAACTCTCACTAGTTATGTTCAACCAATTTTCCGTCTGTTCTCGTTCCCTTTGGGATGGATGTCTTCTTATGAAAAATTAAGTATGTTTTTGTTCATATTTTATTAATCTGCAGTATTATCATCTTTTACTCTCCTCATTGCCTGCATTTCATACCATGTATTCGTGATAATAAGTTCAGCGTTAATCCGAAGAATGGACGCAGGTAATTCTCACAGTAAGTCTCCTTTTACTACTAATCCTCGAAGGTCAGTCAGCTTTAAGATTTCACTCATCACCTTTAAACAAGTCACTCGTTGGTCCTTCTATGTTCTGCTCCAGTTTATTGAAGGACAGTTTAGACATCAGTTCTTGTGGAGCTACCTTTGGAAACTCATCATATGAAATCACCAGTGGATCTCCTGTTAGATCTGCAGTTCCCTATGTAGATGTTGGTATTCCACAGTCTGTAAATGAAAATCAACCTATTTGGAAACAATCAACAATTGGTACGGTGTCACCACAGCATAATCAGTCCCATAGTAATTTATCACAGCCACACTGTGGATCTTTCCGGGTTTCGGGAAGTCCGGGTGTTCAAGAAAATCGTAAGTGTTTATTTTTAGTGCATCTATTATCTACTATTTAGCTGTTTGTTTTGAGGATGAAAATTGTATTTACACACTGGAGTAGCGTGCACCTCTTTCTGTATCTAACTAAGCTGTCATTAACATATCCTAGTGTTACAATACAATGAAAGACCAGAATTTTTTAGTATTAGAAGCACCGTCATTTTGCTCATTTACAGTTTAGCGCTTATCACACTGGGATTTTCGTATTTCGATTTACCACAGTGATAATGTAAAGTTACTGGTCTTTAGTACCAAACTATCAGTGGCAGCTTTCTGTGAAACTCATTATATATACTTCCATGGATCCTAAAGAAAGTTATTATTTCAACAATTATTGTGAATCACTGGGTATTTTGAAAAGTAATATATTTAAGAGATTAATTGTTTATAACATAACTACATCTCTACGTGACCTCAATGGTTTTAGGGAATAAGAATTAGTTAATATCACGTGCATCGTAACAGCGGTAAAGTAGTGACCAGAAAGATTGGATCCAAGGTGACTATCCTCCTTCATTTGCATTCACTATCCGTTATATTAGTTTATCCTATTAGCTCGCATCGAATATTTAATATACAAGCTAAAAAAGGAAAATCTTTACTCCTTTTTATATCTCCAGTTTTCGCTTCCATTATTATTGTCCCTTTTTTCCGCCATCGCAAGATGCTCAATTGGCTTTCGTCGATTACACTTTTCATAATTTCATTTGAAGACTCATGCAATCGTATAATAAACAAATACCTACATCAAAGCTATCTCTCAATGTGATAATATCAACACGCTATTGTGTAGTTTTACCGCCTATTTTATCCAATTTAATAACTTCAAAGTACTTTTTTAAAATTTCCTTTGGTTATCAGTTTCTCTTTTGGATTTGGCCCTCAGTCCAATTGTGAATTCTGGACTTGGCTCGGTGTTGCCACCTTTTAGTAGCGGAGAGGCTCCTGGACAGAGTTCAGGGAACATGCGTCGTTCTGTCACTTGGTCTTCTCCATTTTTAACATCAGGGACATCCCCACGATACCAATATCAGGCTGCTTATATTCAACCTACTAATCCTTGCCAGCAATACTTGAATGATTCACAAAAATCTTTATCTGGACCAGCCTTTATTCCAAACAGTATAACTCCCGATTCTGGGAAAAGTGATCGTGAAATTAACGAACGATCTGAAGATGAGGTAAGCATTTCTGTTGAATGAATACGTGAGGAAGTAATATGTTGAGATTATTGTAAGGAAGGTGGAGCTAAGCATCCGGAATAATTGACTTTCATCGAACAATTCGCAGGTTCGAACTTCACTCAGCCTTCAACTTAATAGAACAGAGAGCATCACCAGTCTCCCTATCGATAGTCTACAACTCCGTACCAATTACATAAAACCTATGCTTATTAAATGAGTTGTATTATTTGTGTTATGTCATTAACAACAATCTTTAAGACCTATAATCTTTATATTTACCACGAAAAAGTAGCTTAAAATTAATCTGTGCCGAGACGAGCTCGTAGCCTAGTGTTGTAAACACTAAATCACTATCACATTATTATTCTAATATACTATACTCCTGTCATTCCTTTTAAATGTTATTTGCTGAAACTATTCCGTGAAATATCTTTTAAAAAGTGAACTCTGGATTTGTTATGTAGAATATTTCACTACTCTACCATTTTTTTCTCTGTTTACAGTATTGGATTGAAAATCAAGTTAGTAAAAGCGATTTAGATCGTTGGACTCTAAATCTTCGAAAGGTATGTAATCACTCAGATTCTAAAGATTTATTTTGTGAATAATAACCTCTCAACATAGCTGAATATTCAATCAATATAACGGCCATACGTTTGTGTGTGCATATAGAGGGATATGCGGCCGAGGGTGGGGAAAGTCAGCTTCCCCTCTCGAAATGCACTCACATGGCCACGCACATGCAGCCACTGTCACAGAAGTCCTACTCACTGCTTTCTCGTGGCGGATGTGTTGTTTACGAAATTGAGAGAATGAAAAGCGAATATCTGGTACTGTGACCGGGTTGGTGGAGACGGAAGATCCATCTAGGGAAGTTTGAAAACTCTGATTTTAAATCAATAGTTCACATGGGTTACAGGATCCTGAGGGAAGAAAAGTCGTATGGACCTATTGTTAGTCACCGGCTACCATGGTACTGCATCTTCTAATGTTGTTCCACTACCTTATCGATCAGACCTTTAGGTCAAGATTTCGGAAAGTGGCCCCCTAAGAAAACCACCTACTTCAGTTTGGGTATCCAGGCAGCATTCCAGCCCTCACAAAAATCAAGTGACTTGTGTGGCTCATCTGTATTTGGTGCCTCCTTGTACTAATATTTATGTATTTAAATAAATGAGAGGCATAACTTAGGTGATGTATTTTCCCATTTTTAAAATTCATTAGACAGAACATTCCTTCATTTAATAAAATCCCTTTTTTATTATTTCAGTGGCTTCATGGTACAATCATTCGACGTATTGTCAATGAAATTGACACAATTAATCGAAATCTTGAAGAAGCTGGTGGCGATAAAACTCTTATTGGATGCAAGTTTTTATATCCAGTTTTTTTTATCTTCAATGTATGCTTTTATGAATGATTGCAAGATTAGTGTCCGCTATCTCTTCCGTTGTATATTGTTATTATTATCCTTTAGTTCACATCAATACTCCATAAATTTGTTGAGATTAGTTCTGCTTAATACTTGTTGGAGAACCTTCAGAAATTAGTGCGCACGTGGAAAACTATTATTTATTTAAACACAAACATTGGCAGAAGGAGGGACCAAGTAGATATGTGCAACATAAATCATTGGATTAGTGTGAGGGATGGGATACTGCCTGGATGCCCAAACCGAAGCAGGTAGTTTTCTTAGGGGGCCATACCCGGAGCCTTCTACCTAAAGGTCTGATCCACAAGGCAGTGGAGCAACCTCAGGAGATGTAGTCCCATGGTAGCAAGTGACCAACAATAGGTTCATACGCCATTCGTTCCCTCAGGATCCTGTAGTCTATGTGTACCATTGGTTTGGAATCACAGTTTTCCAACTTCCCCAGAATGGATCCTCCATGTCCACCAACCTGGTTAATGCGTCGGACATTCTCTTTTCGTCCTGTCAATTTTATAAACAACAGTAATGCTGCGAGAAGGCAGTGAGAGCATTTCGAGAAGGAGAGCTGACTCTCCTCACTCTCGGCCGTATCAGGGCATTCGAATAATCCAAAAGACATACCTTATTCTCATGGTTTATTAGTAGACAAAAAAGATGAATGAATTCCGCAGGAATATTGTAAGTTTGAATACATTCACAATCGTCTTCTGTTCAGATCAAATTGTCAAATCAACATATCAATGATTTGTTAAGGATAAATCTTCGTAATTGACGATGAAAAAGTATAGATTGATCTGTGTAAGGAATTAGGACCCTGAAGAATCAATTCAATTTTTACAAGGAACTAACAGAATATAAAGTAACTAAATGATTTCCAAAGATTAAAACCAAATATAACATTGTCCTATTGTAGTCAATAGATGAATGAGGTTCGAACTTGTTGCACAAAAGTTCTAGGAAACACTTCATTTTTCTTTCAAATAATAAAATCTTAACAGTTTCAGCGTATCCATCTTATTTACATCTTGTCTCTCCTCCCTCTCACTCTCCTCTTTTTTCTTTCTTTTCAATTTTAGCCACTAGTTTAGCTACCCTTCAACAATTCTCCTCTCTTAAATATCAATACTTACCAACACTCCCAGTATTGTTGGCATTTTTAGATTTTATGAAAGATCAAGGATATTTGGTTAATCGATTACATGGTAAGTTTTACATGTCTATACCGTTTAAATTGGCTTTATAATATGTTTTATATTAAAGCTGGGTCTTGAGTGACTTTTTGGTTGTCTTTATGTAAATTATTACTGATCAATTGTAATATGTTATGTGGAAACTGGAAGCAACAACACAGAAACACGACAAAATCATAAACTTTTATTCAAATTATTACTATTTGGTCATTTGAACACATCAATATTGGTACAAAGGGGAACCGAATACATTTGCGCCATACAAGTCACTTGATTTCATGTGGGCTGTGATACTGCTGGGGTGTCCAAAACGAAGCAGGTAGTCTTCATAGGAGGCTATACTCGTAGCCTTTGACCTAAAGGTATGATCCACAAGGCAGTAGAGCAACATCGAGAGATGCATTCCTATGGTAATCGGTGATTAACAATAGGTTCCTACACCATTTGTCCCTTCAGGGTTCTGGAGCCTATGTGCACCAATTGTTTGAAATCAGGGTTTTCCAACTGCCATAGGTTGATCCTCCGTCTCCACCAACCTGGTTAAAGAGCCGGACATTCGCTTTTTGTCCTTTCAATTTCGTAAATAACATTAATGCCGCTAGAAGGCAGTGAATAGGGCTTCTCTGAAAGTGGCTGTATACGCGTGGCCATGTGAGAGCATTTCGGGAGAGAGGGGGAGAGCTGACTCTCCCCACTCTCGGCCGTACCAGGGCATTCTATTCAGATAAATCTAACTGACTCCCCAACAGTTGTAAAGATAAAGGACTTATAATGATACAATGCCGAATACTTGAACATTTATTAAGTAGTATTAGGATCCAAGTTACAGGTCTTCAAATTCATCTTTACGTACACAGTTCAGAAATTTCAACATAATTACTATTAAATGTTCCTTTTTATTTGATTATGGTTGAATTTTCAGGGAATGTTTTATTTTCCGTTAATAATGTCACACTACTATTTAAATTATGACCGCAGTGATCTTTAGTGCTGTTAGAGGTATGGCTTAGAATCTATCACAATAGTGTAGGTGTATATACTTTTTGTCTTCCTTCAAACCGTGAGATTAAAATCGCTTTATATCTTTCTTCCTGTACTATATCCTTATAAACAATCCTTCTTTTATATACTACTACGATTGAAGTACCTACTTTTTATGAATTTGGTGTCTATCTTGTTGCGCTAATGAGGTATAGCACCTTGGATCGATGTATATATGTGCCTGGTCCTACGTTGTAGTTGACTGACTGAGTGTTTGGATTATACTCTAATGTCATGAATAAACAATGAACGAAACGTTATTTTATTTAACTGAACTAGATTTCATCTAAATATAATATATTCAACGGGTTTACAAACACAAATAGTATTGTATATTGTTGGGAGGGGTGCGGGGCACTACCTTAGTGTATAAATGGGAAGATGATAGAGTTGTACACTTGGTTACGACTTGTATTTCTGCAAAAATCTTGGAAGCAAGATTCCTCACCCTTTAAACACCTTGAATGATAGTACAAAACTATTAAAAATAGCTATTTACACCTTATAAATATAAAATATAGATTCAAGATTAATATACAACATCGCCTTATCTGCCTGTAGGATATTCATTACTAGTTAATCACATTAAAAACACTTGTTTTGACCTTAATTTTATCGTTTTGAGGGTTAGTCATTCCAACTGGTTGCTCAAATAAAAGAATTCAGTATTGAAATTTCCAAGGTATCTGTTGATTAGTGATTAGTTTAATTTGTGAAAAAACTTTCTGTATCAGCTAGTACCACGGCGATATGTGCTAGCGATGACGAGAGATTTAAGTAGTATTATGCATCATCAGTCGGAAGTGAAATACTTGGCAGCAGAAGGTTATGAAGATCGAAGAGAAGAGAACAAGAACATTGAATAATTGCTGTGGAAATGACGAAACAGTGAAGTTTGAGACGATTGAAGTATTTACTGTATGGTTCACAGATTTTACTAAGAGATTTTGTATTTGTGTGTTCAAATACATTTGGCTGTCCCTACTGATATTCTCGTTCACTGACCCGACCGTCGTTGCTACTTTGACGTGTTGGTGGTCGGGCTTGCCTATCTTGATAAAGCAACCGAGCTATACTGACTGGAACAACCGTTCCTCAAGGTCCTATCATGTCAGACAGGTTGGTTGAAGAGTGGTTAGACTAAAACTAACAAACCCAAGGTCCGAAGGCGAAGTTGTACTGCTGAATGTACAGAGGTGTGACAGTATTAAGGTGTTTTGTTCAGACAACCAGCATGAGAGCGATGCTGCCTTACCACAAGGAGGGGTGAGGTTAGAAAAGGTCTACCCTAGAAATGCACGCCCCGCCTTATCCCACGGATAGCCGTCTCCGGCGGTAAGGTCTCAAGAAGTAAGGAGCTAACACAAAAATTACCCATAAAATGGTCGTATGTGACCGACCTCAAGTAGTTGTCCCTTGGACACTGCGGTCACGCTCTCAGGTCACTAAGACCACCTCTAATCCAATTTCCTTTTTAGGTACCTCCAGAAGAACCCTTCCATGGTATGGGTGACCGGGAAGTGATAACCGCTCTCATACCTCTAACAGCACTCAAGACCACACTACTATACAATAGACTATGAATGATATTATCAAATTGTAACTAATGTTGTGTATTATTATATCCTCTTCACCTATTTTTACCCTCACCCCCCCACAATTTCGCTTTGTTGATTTATATTTAATTTTGTTTTTGTTTTTCCGTTATGTTCATCATCATCATCATCATCACCATTTACATTAGAATTAGCTAGAGAAAGCTGTCTTCAAGAGTTTCGTTGGGATTCTGGATCAAAAAGTACTGAATGGCCATGGAAAGAACATTTACCATCTGATAGTATTGTAAGTTATGATATTTTTCCAGTGGATTAATTTGTGGTGGTCGGTATTCCATATAATCATTAAACTTTGTATACAGTCCGTCTTGATAACCGTCACTAGATAACACCCCAACTGTATATTAATCAGAAGGTGAATACGAAGTGTTGATTATGTTCATTTTGGGACCACACACACAGATATCCAAAATTACAGATGCGTTAAACAAGCATGGAACAGTTGTGCCGAAAGACAAGCAGGCAAGCAAGTGGGTCAGCGAATATGAGAACGACCAAGCGAGTACAATTAAGCGAGAGAGAGAGAGAGCAATGAACATGAATAACATGGACATATATATACATAGTGAAATGAATGAATCATCGAATCAATTAAGGGGTTAGTAGTAGGTAAGCCTAGCAGCGTGAATAAATGCGTAGGCAGTAAGCAATGGTTCAAGCATACATGTTCATACATTCGCAACAATAATAAAGATACAGTGATATAGATATGTTGTTGTACGGGTAACTCAGTTCGTTAATAAGTTAACAAAATGACTTAACCGAATTAAATGTGAACAAACTCAATTGCCCGTGAGTTACCATAAATTATTACTTTTCTGTATTAATAATTGTAGAACTATAAAGTGATTAAATCCTTAAACTAGAGTCAAGATATTTAATGAAGATTAAGTGGGTTGGTTTGGTTGGACTAAGTGGATTATTTACTTACTTACGCCTGTTACTCCTAATGGAGCATATAGGCCGCTGACCAGCATTCTCCAACCCACTCTGTCCTGGGCGTTCTTTTCTAGTCCCATCCAATTCTTGTTCATTTTTCTCATGTCTATCTCCATTTCCCGGCTTAATGTGTTCTTTGGTCTTCCTCTTTTCCTTTGGCCTTAAGGATTCCATGTGAGGGCTTGTCTTATGACTCAGTTGGGTGCACTAAGTGGATATCTAGGGATTACTTATTGTGATATTCAAGTATATTTGGTAGCATAGAAGGGAGAAAATTAGATGTGACATGAAATCATTGTATCAGTAGTTTTGATGTAGATAATCTGCTTTGTGCAATGATTTTGATCTACTATAGAAGATGGTGAACGTTTGCATCTGTTACGATATACATATATATATATATATATATATATATATATATATATATACTTCAAAATTATATTATTTGCAAATTAGAAAGGTCAGAATGATTTAGAGTAAAATGTCCGGTCACAATAAGTAGGATAGTATTATAGCAAAGTTGAAAATGTAAAAAAAATTGTGTGAATAAAATGCTGGAGTTCTAGTGAGAAGCCGTTGCCAGTGGAGTTCAACCAGGTCTGTTGTGAGATGTCAACTCACTGAAGACAATGGTGTACGGTGGCGCAACTTTGTGGATTGGTTGAAGTTAGACGTTAACACCATTAGATGCTGGCTCAGTGGTCTAGTTGGTTAAGCGCCTGGTGAGAGACTGATAGGTCCTGGGTTCGGATCTCGCGGGATCGTGGATGCATAAGTTTAGTTTTCTGGAGTTGATCCAGATAGCTTCGGCTATGTAGGCAAATCGTAATCTAGCTCCTTGAGATAGATATTTTGGGACTTGATATAAAACAGAGAAAGCTTCCTCTATTTTGATTTGATGTTCACTATCTACCAAGTGTGAAAGAATAGTGCTGTAAATCGATTTAGTAACTCATTTTCCCAACCATGCTGGTACATGTTCACGAACACGCAAGGATAAAGCTCTCTGAATACGGCCTATGTAACTAGCTCCACTGGAGCAGTTGAATTGATATACACACATGGAGGAGCCCATCTTCGGTAACCTATCCTTGATTAGTTGTGTGAGTAGTGGTTTAGTTGAGAAAATATTGTGTAGCTTGGCGGCGTGAAACGTCCTTTCGACATATCTTTTGAGTCGACGTGTTACAATATCACCCGCTATGTCCCCTTTAAAGTCTAGTCTCAGATATAGTGTTTTTTTACTGTTTGTATCACGATTTCTTCTATTTTTTAACGAAATTATCTGGATAGCCATTATTTCGTAATGTGTTCTTTAGTATAATCTATTTCGCCATCCACGCTGTCTTCAGAATATAATAACTTGATTCTGTGGTTGAGACATTTAATAAAATTTATCTTATATTGGAGAGATGTAAAGCTTTGGAAATGAGGTATACTGACCCGTTCATGTACTCTTTCTAAATATATTTCGCTTTATGGAACTGTCGATCCTTTTAGAAAGTAGGACATTCAGAAAAGCTATACTATTGTCTTTCTCCTCCTCCTTGCTGGTGAATTTAATGGCTGAGTGGATGCTATTGAAAGAGTCCAACATTGTCAAATTCATTAATACATACCTTATTTTTAGCCTTTGTAAAATATTATAATTATGGACTGTAGAACCGTAAAGCCTGATGATGAAGTTATTGAAAGCAATTGTTCGCTTAAACATTCTTCGTGTTTGAATATATTGTATGGGGATCTTTAAACTATTATAGAAAACTTTAGGTTAGTTGATGGTGATAGCACAGATCTTGAATTTCATCATTATTTCATTGTTAATGTTGCAGTCTCTAAGCTAGATAGCATAGTTCTTGAGCTTTTGTTGTTCTTCTGAATAAAATCACCCAAAGAGAAGTAAGCCATTAGGAATTCTTCACAATCAGCTAACGGATTGTTCTGTTTTGATTAGTTTTTGTTGTTCACATGAACAATGAAAGCTTCACAACTATGAGGTTCATTTCAAGGACCACAACATCATCCTAAACTCTAAATCTTCTTCATCTCGATACGTACTTCCCTCAAGATTACAGTTACACGTTGCTGACGAGTGCCAAATAGCACAAAACTCAGGCCTAGGGTTTCCTGTTGACTACTTCCAACCACCATCTTATCTCAACATAGTGCACGCAATGTCGAATCATCTATACTAATGGTCATATTGCAACTTGGTCTATAGGATTCGATGTGCAGAAAGAAGGCTCTGACACACATGACATTAATCACCACCCAGTGAATCGACAATTGTATCTCTGTGTTAATGTGGTATGGCAACTTGAACTGATGTATGTACGTTGTTGTTGACTGACAATACGTTCTATTCTTACTGTTCGTTCGTTTCTTTTGTATTATATTACTTTTATTACCCCCACACACACACACATTTATGTTTTTTCTCCAGATTCTGTTACATTTGTTTGCTACTTATATGGATACGCGTATGCCACCGCATCCCAAATGTTTATCTGGTCGTGTGTTCAGTCAATTGAATGTTGTTCGACTTCCAGATAAGCCTGGTTAGTTGACTCGTGTGTGTGCATTTTAACGGTTGGACTTTTTTATATTCTGTTTCAGTGCCTAAACTGTAATTAATACTATTAATAATAGTAGTGGTAGTAGTAGAGATAAGTGTCAGTAGGAACACATAGAAAGACATTTAGTACATGCTGTTTGTAAACATAACAGTAGAATTGCATGATCTTTAAGACATTATTCAGAAGATCTTGATAAACTCATGGAAATTAGTTCGATACAGTTATCGTCGATAAAGTAGGAGGATCGGAAGCAGACGTAAATGTGAGGATTGGCAAAACAAGGGCCACATTTTTACAATTGAAAAACATATGGAACTCAAAACAACTGTCAACCAATATCAAAGTCTGAATCTTCATTATAAACGTCAACACAACTAGTTCTACTGTGCGTAGCTGAAACGTGGAAAACTACTACAACCATCATCAAGAAGGTACAAATATTTATAAATAGTTGTCTGCGCAAGATATTGAATATCCGTTAGCCGTATATCATCAGCAACAGCCTTCTGTGGAAGAGAACAAACCAGCTTCCAGATGAAGAGGAAATTAGGAAAAGACGTTGGAAATGGATAGAAGATACATAACGGAAATCGCTAAATTGCATCACGAGGCAAGCCCTGACTTGGAATCCTGAAGAGAAGAGGAAGGCCGAAGAACACACTACATTGGGGAATGGAAACAGATATAAAAAGAATGAATAGCATTTGGAAAGGATTGCCCAGAACGGAGTTGGATGGCGAATGCTGGTGGGTGACCTATGCTCCTCCACGAGGCTTAACTAAGTAATTCTTGTTACATACTGACTGCCTGAATTTTCTACTCAGTCTTAATGCCAACAAACAATCTACCATACGACAACCATTAACAAAACACCGATGTCTGTTTTCGGAATTACAGGATTTATAACATTTTTCAAATCCTTCATGCATTAAAAATACGTTGCTAGGTTTTAATATTACGTATTCAGTATCATCAATTGATATGAGCGATTCCTCAGTGACAATGATATCCAAACAGTGGAAATTGTTTAACACCCTCAACCTGAGAAGTTTGTTAAAAGTCATCGACATTGCAGGTGCAACTGTCAACAAATTTATACCGTGGTATTTACTATATATCGTAAGTTAGGACTGTGGATTAGCGGTTAAATAAATAAACTAACCCTCACACAACTAAATTGTAGTTCAAAGCTAACTTTTCCGAAAGTAACGTATGACAGTCATTTCATTCTCAGGTGACAACTACATATGTAAAAGATTGTATTTGTTTAAACACATAAACGTTAGTACAAGGCGTCAAATAGATATGCACCACATAAATCATTCGATTTGTGTCAGGGCTTGGATACTGTCCGCTACACAGGGGTCCACTCCCCAAACATTTGACCTACACGTCTAATCCATAAGGTAGTAGAGCAACGATAGGTCCATTCGTTCCATCAGGATCCTGGAGCCCATGTGCACTATTTGGTTTTTAATGACGGTTCCCAACTCCTATAGGTGGATCCTCCATATCCACTAACCCAGTTAAAGAACCGGATATTCACTTTTCATCCTGTCAATTTAGTAAACAACAGTAATGCCGCAAAAAGGCACTAGACAGGACTTCGCTATCAGTGATTGTACGTACGTGACAATGTGAGAGCATTTCAAGAAAGAGAGCTGACTCTCTCCCTTCTCGACCGTACCAGGGCGTTTGCGTGGGAGGGATTGTAAAGTTTAAGTGTAATTGTTACAGATCTTACTGATCTACCTCATCTTATTGTGTTAATGAGGTATGGCAACTTGGACCGATGCATATATGTGCCTGGTGCTACGTTGTAGCTGACTGACTGACTACTAATCTAAGTATAGAATGATTCTTTCATAACCTATTTGTTTACCTTAATGTTTGTATGTTTCTTTTCTCTCTCTTTCTCTTTTCATCTACTTATAGATTTGAAAAGTAAACATAATTGTCAATTTTATCAAGTTGCTGTACAACCGCCTCAATTTAAATTAGTATTAAATGGAAGAATCTACAATTTTATATCAGTAATTTAACTTCTTTTTTTTATTTAATTCATAATCCTATTTTATTTATAGGGTCAAAAAAATATCTACCATGCTATTTTATTATTCTTTCATTATTATGTAACAAGGAATGGAAAGTTCAGGTAAGTCTGTTGTATTATAATACAAATTATATTGGTAATTTGGTTATAAAAATACATGTTTAATCGATTCAATTAAGTATATTGAATAGATTACATGATACAAAGGGGTATCCCGATCGTTGTTGCTACCTTGACGTGGTGGTGGTCGGGCTTGCCTATCGTGATGAAGCAACTGACTAAAGGCAACAAACCCAAGGTCTGAAGGCGAAGTCGTACTGCTGACTGTACAGAGGTGTGACAGCAGTAAGGTGTTTCCTTCAGACAACCAGCATAGCAGCGATGCTGCCTTCCCACAAGGAGGTGTGAGTTTAGAAAAGGTTGACCCTAAAAATGCACACCTCCATCTCCGGCGCTAAGGTCTCAACAAGTACGTAGCTAACACAAAAATTACCCATAAAATGGTCGTATGTGACCGACCTCAAGTAGTTGTCCCTTGGACACTGGGGTCACGCTCTCAGGTTACTAAGACCACCTCTAATCCAACTTCCTGTTTAGGTACCTCCAGAAGAACCCTTCCACGGTGTGGGCAACCGGGGAGTGATAACCGCCCTCATACCTCTAACAGTACTCAAGACCACTGACTGACTGACAAAGAGCTACGGAATACATTATGTGCCACATAAGTCATTTGATTTATGTTATGGGCTTGGATACTACTCGCTTGCCCAAACCGAAGCAGGTGGTCTTCTTAAAGTGCCACACTTTGAGGACTAATCCACAAGAAACGTTATGAGATTCAGTCCCTTGGTGACCGGTGACGAACTATTGGTTGATACGTCATTCGTTCTATCAGGAACCTACAATTCATGTGCACCCTTGGTTTATAATTAGGGTTTTCTAACTTCTCTAAATAGATCCTCCATATTCACCAACCGGATTAAAGCAGTGGACATTCACTTTTCATCCTCTCAACTTCGTAAACAATACTCCTGTCGCGTGAAGGCAGTGAGTAGGACTTCCCTGTCAGTGGCTGTATACTTGTGGTTATGTGAGCATTTCGAGAGGGAGAGGTGACTTTCCCCACACTCGACTGTACCAGGTTACCATACCATTTACTTGTCGTGGTAATTAGTGATCATAAATTGTATAATAACAGTTGTATCTTTCATTATCAAAAAGGATATGAGTTCGGATAATGTTTGTATATATTCCTTGTTAGTTGGTGAGTACTAATGAACAACAACTCGAGTTCCATGTCTTATTGTCTGTTAACTACCTGTCATAGCTGCCAGTTTAACGCGGTGGTTAGGTTTACATAACACAATTAAGCTTTATTGTATGTAACACATTCTTTAAGGTCAGACCATACGATATCAGTTGATTGAGGAGCAGCAAACTTAAGATCCGAGAGCAAAGTTATATTACCAAATGCATTAGCGCCTGATTGTCGTAAGATATTTCCCTCGGACAATCAGTATCTACACTTGATGTTGCTTTCTTACAACAGAAATATGACGTCAGATATGATCACTCCTGGAAATAATCCCTTGGATTTCTATCCATGGTGACAAGGTCTAAAAGGTACAGAGCTAAAGCACTAAAAACTACTAGTTCACAATGAGCTGATAGGATTTATGGTATGGAATATTCAAGACCTAGATTCCGTGCTAATTAAGACTTGCAAATAGTCAGTCAGTGACAACGCAGAACTTCGTACGTACGTACATCAGTTCGAGTTGCCACACCACATTAGCACAGAGATGCTGTAGTCAATTCAAATCCCGTAGTGCTAGATGCAGTAAAATTATAAGCAGCAATCAGAAAGATCAGGGTTTGGAGATGTTATTCGAGGAGTATAATACAGTGAAATAAATTTGGGAAGAGGAAAAAGGGACAAGGAGCATTCAGGAGATTAGAATTTGGGAGAACACAAAGAGTGGATGCACCTGCGCCATTGCAAACGATTTCGAGCCATGTCATTCAGGCTCTCTTACCATCGGTTGCTATCATCTCGCAGTCCCCAACCAGGTAGTCTACATCTACCAATATGACTCAGTCCACTTGTCAGTAACTTCATGAACTTGTGCCATGTTTTGGTCTGACCGCCTCTAACTTTCTTCCAACCTACTCCTATACCACTGAACATCGCACGTCAAGGCAGTCGGTCGTTGGGCATACGTAACACGTGTCCCATCCATCTCAACTGATGAAGTTCCACTACTTCATCAATTGATTTGCTATCCTTACCTAGAAATCGTTTCCTAACAATTGTATTACTTACTCGATGGTCCCAGGATATACGAGCAATGTTTCGAAGACACCTATGATCGAATGCTAGTAACCTACAAATATCCTCTACTCTTACCGGCCATGTTTCACTGCCATAAATTAGGACGGAACGAACTGCTGCGCAGTAAACTCATCCTTTGGTTGATAGACGGATATCTCGCCTACACCACATAATATCCCGTACCTAAATATTAAAAGAATCAATATTCCTCGTTAAATTTGTACATGAATGAACCAGATCCACAGTCTTAATTTTGTTGTTGTTTTTTATCTCTATTTGAATAGATCTGTTTCACTTGGTCCATCAGGTTTAAACGTTACATGGATATTTTCTAAAAATTGATTATAATTATCAAAATGTAAAAAGAAGATAATAACTCTATCATGTATATGTATTCCTTTGTCTAATTATTGATGTTCCATGTTTATTTTTGTATTTAAAAAGAGAAAAATAAATAAATCTAGAATTTATGTTAAATTCGATGAGCTTCTTCTTTGTTTTTCTTTGTCTTGTACTTCTTAGTGGATTCGCACTGTTGAGGAGTCCTATAATAGGACGAAACGGCATTCCAGTGGTTCTAGGTTTTCAATGACAGTCCAACATTAATCAGTTCATGATCTCAACGTGTAAACAATCTATAAACATACTTTTCTAGGGAACTGCAGAATGATCTATGGATTAGATATACTTTTATGACGCAATTTATACAATTGTTATACCTATCACAAGTTGATCGATTTCATCAAAGATGATGATATTCACTTGTTGAATGTACTCATCAGAGCTTGTAGCAATGGCCTTGTTTTTTGTGTAAATTATCAGTGACCATACACATATTGATGATTCCGCATTTCATCATTGTGAGCTGAAGTTATGTTGGATCGTCAGATAATCTATACGATATCCTCCGAGTCGCACAACAAGTAAGATAAGATCTAAGTACATATAGACTATAATAAACGGATTAACCACCTATACAACATCATTACTCGTATATCCTTCTCCAGGAGTTGTTTTATTTGTTTAAATAAATATTACTACGGAGAGGCACCGAATACATATGCGCCACTCAAGTCACTCGATTTGTGTGTGGGCTGTGACACTTTCCGTGTGCCAAACTGAAGCAGTTAGTTTTCTTAGGTGGCCACGCACAGAGCCTTCGACCTAAAGGTCTAATCCATAAGGTAGTGAAGCTACGTCAGGAGATGCAGTCATACGGTAGCCGGTAACCAATAATCAGTTCATACGCCATTCGTTCCTGGAAGCAATGTACACTATTGGTTTGGAATCAGGGTTTTCCAACCCCTTAGATGGATCCTCTGTCTCCACCAACCCGGTTACAGTACGGGAAATTCGCTTTTGGTCCTCAAAATTTCGTAAACAACACCCCCACCGCCAGAAGGCAGTGACTGTATACACGTGGCCATTCGATAGCGACAGTGAATTCTCCCCAGTCTCGGCATTACCAAGGCATTTGGTGGGGAGGGCAGAAACACTCTAATGATGCATAATTTCCCCTTTGCTTTGGTTAGATTAATCAAAAATATGGGCAATAATTATTGTATTGTCCTAATAACAAATAAAGAAATTATATACCACAGAAAGGAAATATATATTTCAACCCATAACATTTGATGAAATAAAAATTCCAATTAAAATGCTTCGAAATAAAAACGGAAAAATCAATAATGGTAATATGATGATGATAATGATGACCCTAGTTAGCCCAACACAAAAAAACACACACATAGAGAGAGAGAGAGAGAAATAGAAAAAACGGGAGGGGGGGAAGGACTGTTGACAACAAAATATTCGATAGAAAAATGATTAACAAGGTTGATTTACAAATAAGAAATGTTTGGATTATGCATTATGAAATGTTTTTTTTTAATTATTGTAAATAACAGGATTAGCATTCAATAGAATACGGAATAAAATAGAGATAACTCTTGACTATTACTAATATATTGTAATAAAGTAGACAAATGAGAAAAAAAGACAAACAAGCCATAGAACAGTGAAGTACTACTAATAATAATAATGATAATAGTAGTACATAGTGTATCTATATTCATTGAGGAAGTTTCATTTATATTTTCATATTATGGCATGAATAAATATGAATAGAATAGAATAGTTCGTATTTATTCATTTAATGGACATGATGGTAAATGGACTGTACCAAAATAATTCAATTCATATAAACTACAGAATACAAGTACAATAATATAACCAATAAGTAATGCATAACCATACATTTTAGTTAAACGCCAACGATTAATATGTGTTGCAACTAGAAGATATATAACTGTTGTGAATAAAGTCAATGTTGAATATAATAAACCTATAATGACAATGAAAACAAAAAGAAAAATAGATGGTATTAAATGTATGTATTCGTATACAGAGGGTTTTTATATTTCACGGACTGACATGGTTTTTCTTTATTTTAACACATAGAAATTGGTACAAGGAGGCACTAAATACATATGCGACACACAAATCTCATTTGATATGTGTGAAGGCTGTGATACTGCTCGGGTGCCCAAAACGAAGCAGATGGTTTTCTTAGGTGGACACACCCGGAGCCTTTAGCCTAAAGGTCTGATCCACAAGACAGTGGAGCAACGTAAGGAGATGAAGTCCCATGGTAGCTGGTGACCAACGATTGGTTCATACGCCATTTATTCCTTCAGGATACTGTAGCCCATGTGCACCATTGGTTTGGAATGAGGGTATTCCAACTCCCCTAGGTGGACTCTTCATGTCTACCAACCTGGTTAAAACGCCGGACATTCGCTTTTGGTTCTCTTAATTTCGTAAACAACACCCCCGACACGAGAATTCAGTGAGTAGGACTTCCCTGGCAGAGGCTATATACGCGTGGTCATGTGAGAACATTTCGAGAGGTAGACCGGACTCTCCCCACTCTCGGACGTACCAGGGCATTCGGGGGCGATAAATAACCAACAAGTACTGAACACTTGTTTCGTTCTAGTATGGAACTTCTTTGGATTAATTAGCAATACTAATAACAATCAGGTCATTCCTAGTGACTAAATTTAAGGTCGAGAGTGGGGAGAGTCCGCACTTCCTCTAGAAATGCTCTCATATAGCTACGCATATACAGCCATTGTCAGGGAAATCTTACTGCGAATGTCTGTCCATTTAACCGGGGTTGGTGGAGATAAAGGATACGCTTAGGGCAGTTGGAAAATACTGATACTAAACCAACGGTGCACATAGGCTCCACGGTGAACAAAAACCGTATTGAACCAATTATTGTTAATCGGCTACCATGTAACTGAATCTCTTAACATTGCTCCAATGCCTTATGGATTAGAAATTCTCAACCAAAACAGTTGCTACTCAATTATAACTATTTACTGTGTACATATTAAAGTTACATTATACTAAGGAAACAACTAACCTCTAGAATAGATGACAATTGGCGCTTGAGAAATGATTGATTTAATTAACCATGGTAAACCCATACAAATTAATATGTCAAATACATTACTACCTACTGCATTTGATACGGCCATATCACCTTCACCTATACAAAAATGTAAACACATTGATATGATTTTAACGTTGTATTAATCATGAAATGTAGTTGAAGATTAGAAAGGTAACTAGGTCGTGACTTGGAGCTAAAATGATTTGTGTAAAGTGTTTGCTTACTTACGCCTGCTACTCCTCGTGAAGGAGCATAGGCCGCTCACCAGCATTCTTCATCCAACCCTGTCCTGGGCAATACTTTCCAGTTGTTATTCATCCTTTTCATATTTCATTCGATTTCCCGACGTAATGTGTTCTTTCGCCTTCCTCTTTTCTGCTTCCCTTCAGGATTCCAAGTTAGGGCTGGCCTCATGATGCAGTTTGATGATTTTCGTACTGTATGTCCTATCCATTTCCATCGTCTTTTCCTAATTTCCTCCTCAGTTGGAAGCTGATTTGTTCTCTTCCACAAAAGGCTGTTGCTGATGGTATCCAGCCAATGGATGTTGAGTATCTTGCGTAGACAACTATTTATAAATACTTGTACCTTCTTGATGATGGTTGTAGTAGCTCTCCAAGATTCAGCTCCGTACAGGAGAACTGTGCTCACGTTTGTATTGAAGATTCTAACTTTGTAAAGGGCTCGCGACACTAAAATATCTGATCATTTAATTATTGATAATCAACATGGAGTCTGGCTAACCTGTATAAACCAATTCACCATGCTACATTAGCACGACAAGATAAATACTGAACAAGTAGAAATTATGTAGTAGCAATGATAATAAGAAAGACTAGGAATCAAGAATATGGTTAGGAAAGAAGGAATGAAAAGGTATGTATGAAGAGATACTGGACCTCAAGATAAAAGGTGAATAGATTTATGTCATTATGATCAATTCGGAGTCATGTTACTCAAGATTCCTGATCATTGATCATGATAATCAAACAGTCTGCATATACTAATATAGCTCAGATCAACAGTCAATTGTTCTATGGACTTATGTCACGTTTTAGTTTGAACACGCCTAGCCTACCATCAACTTACTTCAACACCAGCTAATAATGTCTATTTGAGTAGATGATTGTAAGGAATATGTAGCATTTGTCTAAGATTTTTCTTTCTATAATATTCATTCTTTAGAATCAAAGCAACTGAAATGTGAGTTCGATTTTGTTTATCTTAATAGATTGCTTAAAGTACATAACTAAAGTTTCTAAATACGAATATATTCTACAGCCTTGCGAGAAGAATCTAAAATATCAACATTAACTACTGCTACCATTTTATATGTATAGTCTTTACAACTCCCGCCAAATCAATTTGTCCTCACTTACTCATAGTAAATATTCAACGTTAATCAAAGATATAAAGAAGAAGAAGAACAACAGTCAATAAAGCTTGTGACTAAAGCAGTATCGAAACAGTCTGCAGGGGATGTACATATACAGTCCTAAACAACAATGGGAAGATACAAGCCAAACAATACCAAGTGAATTAAACTTCGCCCCATTGTACAAGCAGGTGGCTATCAGGACTCAGCAGCTAAGTAGATAACGCGATGGAGTTTGAAGCGAATGGTACTGGGTTTCAGTCCCGGAGTGAACATCAACCCTGAGATGCCGATACATGCAGCTGACGAGTCCCAAACAGGACAAGACACGCGTTCTATTTTCTCTCATAAAACTTACAGTCCGCATATGGTGAACATATGCCAACAAGAGACTGATCAACTGGACTAAATAACAATGGGAGATACAAGCAAACAATACCAAGTGAATTATCTTTAATTTGGAAACATGGACCAACGGACAATTATGGTTTGTACTATGTTAAGTAC